TTTGAGTAATAGAAATGTCCTCTTATGCTCCTTCCCAAACCATGACGCTGTTATTGGTTTCTCAAAATATTTCATATTCTGCCAAAACAGTTTATCAAAACACAAACGAAAATCTTTATTAGGCTAAAGAATAATATGAATAAGGATGATTAACAGCAAAAAAAAAAAATATTGGATTTCTCGCAATTACTGATTAGAGAAGATCTTTTCATAAATCCAAATAGAGTAATTTATTTAGCTAATAATGACTTGAAAAGATTTTTAAAATAATTTATTGGACTTTTGACATATTTTAAAACACAAAATTTATATTTTTTGTCATTGAGAGCTACCATGATAGTATTAACAATCAAAATGCAACCATTAACCGTAGTTGGGCACCCAATGACCTAATTGATCTAGCACCTAACTTCTGAAACGAGTCACACCATATTTATTTGCCAGGAATAAAATAAAAAAAATTCAGTTGTTGTTAGAAATTTAGAAGATCGTGAAAAGAATGAAAATTAGAAAAAGACAGAACAATTATAGATAACATATAATTTTTGTAAGTAATTGGAATGGGGTTACGGACTTGTCCATCAAGGACTAGTCATCGCTTAAGCTTTCTATTCGGCCCAATATAATCCAAAGAAACTGCAGAAGCCCAACCATATCTGCTGGGCTACAATATTTTAGCATTAAACTGTCCAGCCCATCCCGGCCCAGCTCAGTCCAGACCATCCAATCTTACATCAGTAGTCAATTTAATTCCATGGCACATATGTCCAAATGTGGACCATGACTTGAAAATAAAATTTCATAGCGTTTGAAACCGAGACAATTTATAATAGAATTGAATTTTTTGGGATTTGAAATCCTAAATTATAGTATCTTCAAATTCCATCCAAAAAATGATAAAATTTGTAAATTAATTTAGTTGTAGGTTTATAACTTTACCAAATTATCTTTCATTTTAGAAAACCATAAGATTATAATTCTAGTTAATAAGAATAAAATGATAAAAATATTTATTTCAAACACACAAATAGAATTTCATTCCTTTTTATTTTCATTTTTTAATTCCAAAAATAATTTGGCTCCAAACAAAGCGGAGCTATTCTAGTCAATATGCATTAGCTAGAATGCCTCCAATGAAATCGCATTTTTGTATTCTAAGTAACTTCTTTTATAATATAGCCAGCTTCATATGAGACAAGAGACTAGACTAGTGAAGTGGTGTGGCTCATGGGAATATAGGGCATCTATCTCGATCTGCATGATTGAGCTCATTTGATACAACGTGAGGACTCTAAACACCCTGAAATATCGTTTCTCCACCTGTACAATATATATATATATATATATATATATATATATATGCATCCATATATCTAGATATAGAAAGAGAGTGTATGAGTATGATCACGCATACCCAAGTGGGCATGCACCAATTAACATGAAGTGATGCAGATAGAGAGTGAAATTGGCATGGATTTCGGAGCCATCCTTCGATTTGTTCCTCTTCGATCGTACAACTAGCTAGCTCTTTTTCTTTCTTGATTTGGCTTCTTTTTTAAGATACCCAATTGGAAGCATATATAGATATATATATATATATATATATATATATGTATGTATGTATATTATATATACACTTCAATTATATATATACGTACACATATATCGACAATTTCGGGATCACTTCAATAGACTTAAGATAGACACTCCCACTGATTACGTACTCAAAAACAGTTGAAAGAGAGGACCAACCGACCAACAATCACATGATCATCATAATCATAATCATAATCTCCATCAGTACTGTTAATATTTGGATGAGAGAGAGAGAGAGAGAATGCTTTTTGGAGGGTTGATTATAAATGTCACTGGAAGAGAGTAGCTTTATTCTTTGTTGGTAAGCAGCTAGCCAGCCAGCCTTCATTGGTTCTTGCAAAAGCAAATCGGAACACCTACATAAGATTCCTTTCTTTCAACATCACCAATCTCCCTTAATTGCTTCAAACTATTGCTTATATATATATTCTTTGATGTGAGTGAGGATTGACCTCGTCACCTTATGAAAATAATTAGAGTTGTGGATCTAATTATTAAATTACGTATCATTCCTCTAACAATATATATTAGTATTTTTTTGACCTGAGATTAGAGGCGGAGTCAGTATACGGTATACCTAGGGGGGCACGTGCCCTGGCCTGCCCGGCCCGCTTACTATAATACATATACTAAATTTATGTATTTTTATATCTATATGTGAAAAAATGTGATTCAGCAATCCAAAGTTTCTTGTTGATCTAATCAAATAAAATAAGGAAAAAAACTCTTCTTTTTTTATTTTCGCACTCTTTCATAACATAAATATTGTTAAGAGTCTTCCAGTGTGAAAACAAAAAGTTTGTCAGGAATACTCTTTATCTCATACTACTCTCTCCATACATAATCTAATGTTTTGAAAAAATAATAGAAAATTTTTCTCATATCGAATTCGAAGTGCCATGTTATTATTACTTAATATTCATATTTCATATGGCAAAAGCAAGTCAAATTTTCTTTTTGAATCAAAGCCCAAATTTTTTTTCCCTTTCAAAGTTTTCTCTCTTTTCTTTCCTTTTCAAAATTTTTGTTAACTATTTATCTTTCTTAAATGACTCATTGATTGAGTAATTTCTTTTCTTTGTCTCTTGATTTGAATAATCTATATTTATTGTCATGCTTATTGTTTTTTTTTTTTTTTTTTTCATATTGTGCCCCTGGATTTAATTTCTGACTCCACCCCTGAACTTCCATACAATTTCAATTTCAACACTCTACCTTTGAAGATATACTATTAAAGGATGCCATATATGGTGGCATTAAAAAAAACTAGACCCATCTTTATATTCTTTTTAGACTATAATTAATTAGTATGAACTATATATGTATTATCTTTGTGTCAGGTAAAAAAAAACCCCAAAAACCCAGTTATCTAAATTTGGTTTCCATAAAATAATATATACATAGATAGTAGGAGCTTAATTACAGTTTTAATTCATTACGGTTTATCCAATTATAAAATGAGTTGTTACATAAATACACACACTACCGGGAAATATAGTACTAATAAAACACACACACACAGAAGCAAACATAGAAGTTTGGTCCAACCCTGGACAAAGAAGATTTCTGTTAGATACAGTTAGTATGAGTACATGATCTGCAAGAAAATCAGTCGCGTGCAGAGTTTTCACAACTAATCAAAATGCATTCTTGGACTGGTCTTGTAAACTTTGACTCTCCTCTGCGCCTTTATTTTTCTTGGGGGAACCAAATTACAGAATTTTGAAACACACTGATTTTTTGAACTTTGAAGTACTGTAGGGTACTATATATATATATATATACACACACACACATATATATATGTATGTATGGATGGATCTAAACGACATTTTGGAGTCTTTTGAGACTTTTGTCATACCTACCCTCTTAACGTTCCTTGACTGCTCTTTCTCAATCTCAGCGTCACTCTCGCCCAACACACACACACCCACACACCCACACACTAACAGTAAGCACATTCACATATTATTACACATAATCATGGATTCATCATGGAAAGTAAGTAACAAACTTCACTCTCTAATCTCTATACATATTCTCTTCCCCTCTCTCTCTCTCTCTCTCTCTCTCTCTCTCTCTCTCTTACGTGTGCTGTATGATTAAACAAATTAATGAACAGATTTTCTTGGAGACATGAAAGTAAGTATATGACGAGTCTCTAGGTGGATCTTCTGATAATTTTGGGAAACTGAGGAAAGTGAATGTTTGAACTACAGACAATGTAAGAAATTAATCATTTTTAATTAATGAAACTAAGGATGAAATGTACCTTTTCTATTTTTCATCACCAAATTTGCTAAAAACAAAAAAATCATGCAAGGGACACACAAGTTTAGAATTAAAAATATAGTACTATTGAACTCTTTTTCTTTAAAATAAAATAAAAATTGAACATTAATTTTTGGATCTATTACCTCCTACCCCAGTGACCCAAGGAAGTTCAATGTTGAAGTAATCACTAAAATAAGCAACATTGGAATTTCAAGACAAGTTAAAAAGAGAGCTATTTATGTTGGTTGTTGAATATAAGCATCTGATAACTTGATATATGACCCGCCCTCGGTTTGTAGGTCATTGCGACACGTACATGTTAGAAACCTTATTCAGTTGTTGAAGTAATTGAATCAACAAGCATGCATTTGTCTGCATTTGCCTCCATAAAAAAAATAAAAAAAAAAGAGTAATAAACAATAAAATGCCGATAGATATATATGCTTCGATCTCAAAGTTATTAACCGAGCCTTACTTCATTAAAGAGGTTGATTCAAGATTGAAAGTACAATTAGCTTAGGCTAGCTATTTATAATCCTACCTAAACTTTTTCCAAGTAATTATAAATATTCAAAATCAGTAAGTTGCATGATAGCTAGATAATATTCCTCTAAAGGCGCGCTAAAATTATAAACTAAAAGCAATGCAATGTTATATAACACAGACTAAACCCTCAAAACCCAAATTTGAAGCCACAAATTGACAACCAAATCAACTAAATAGACATTAACACTCTCCATCTATGGCATTTTGTCCTTCCAATCAAATGAGAAAATCACCCATGTATATATATATATATATATATATAACCCTTATTTTATGGCTTACTGATGTTAGCCTTCACTTTCACATAATATGCATCTAAAGCACTACAATACTCAATTGATCATATTCAGATAACATGAAAAACTCAAAGGATGGGAGAAAGGGGAACCTATAACAGCATACAAAAACAAAAGTCGAATCAACCAAATGTAGCATGGTTTTCGTTCAAAATCCTTGAAAATTAGTGTGAAATTAAACTTTTCATTTCCGAATGCCAGAGATCTTATTCGAAGATGTGTAGTTCAACATAGAATCCAATTTCATAATGCAATGCAGCCTCTCACCAGTAATACTACCATATAATGTGAGAGTTATCAGCACGTACATATATAGTCTATAGAATTCAATACAAATAATTCAACACAATGCAAGATGAAACCTCGTGTGCAATATAAAAATACAACAACGCGTACATTCATTACTGCATACACCCGCAGACATTACAAAAGAAAATTAAACCAAAACCGAAATGTAAAAAAAAAAAAAAAAAAAAAAAAAAAAAAAAAAAAAAAATGAAAGAAACCAAGAACCCTTCCATTAATTTCTTCAGCTCGATCCAGGAGGGTTTTAGAGAGACAAACACATATATCATCCCATCCAAAAATTCCCCATTTTGCCCAAACTTGGTTAAGAACACCCATACTGTGGAGGCTTATACTACTTGGAAGCTTCACTTGCAAAAACTAAGCTTCGATATGGAACTTTGGAGATTACCAGAGATTGATTACAAGGGATTACTAGTGGAAGAAGAGCTAAATCCAGAAAGATCTGTCCAAGCAGTATTACCACCACTCCAATACTGATGATCATTTCCTGGCATTCCCAAGAACTGCCTTGACAAACCCAACCCTCGATTCTCTTCCATTTTCACTGAAGCCATTTGGGAAGTAAGCCCCGAAGCACCCATTTTCGCTCCGCCCTGACTCGCTTGCTCACCACCAAACCCTGAAGGCTCAACACCACTTTGAAATGGGTACACTCCTGCAGACTGCCCTTCAAAGCCACCAAACAAAGGGATCTGCATCTGCTGAAACCTCCACGGCTCAATATTACTTCCCGCTGGCAAAAAGGAACCAATGCCAACCCCAAGTGAACTACCACTTCCTATCTGAAAATTCATGTCACTTGTTACCGGAGCTGAAATTCCACCATAGTTTAAGCTAATGTCACCTGCACCATAGTGATCATTGAGCTGATGCAACGGAGCCATGAAGCGGAGTGGTGGAATTTGCGGTGAAATGCCTAATAAAGTACTTGCCATTCCCATTCCACCACTAGAACAAGAAACTGTACTGGTTGATGGAGAAGCCGTGCAATCACCGCTGACCGGAGATTTGGAGCTGCTCCCTTTGCTTGATCTTTTGTTCCTACGGCAGCCGCCTCCCACGGGGACGTTCCTCAGTGCACCCCCTCTAGTCCAGTACCTCCTGCAGGTCTTGCAAAAGTGACGCGGCTGCGTGAGACTGTAGTTGTTGAAATAGCAAAACTTTGTGTTGGTGGATTCGCATCTAGGGCATTTTAGTGCAGCCTCTGGCATCGGAATATTGGCCATCCGGGCTCGATCTGCCATCGAGCCAGGCCTGATCGAGCCTGCACTTCCACCACCGCCATGAGGCTGCAGAGGCGGCTGCTGCTGTTGTGGTGGTGGGAGCTGAGAGTTAGCACCTCCACTCCCACTTTGATGATTTGGTTGCTGTATGAGAAACCAAAAGAGCCAAAAAAAATTGAGAGATATAGTATATTCAACAAGAGATGTTAAAAATAAAATGGAATAGAGAAAGAAAAAGGATGGATGGGAATATTATTTATCTTTTGAAATTTGCTTTCTTTAGCAAAATTAAAGAAGCCATGAAAACGTATTGAAGAAACCCTTACCTGTTGCCAGTTGGCTGGATCAAGATAAGCTGGTGGGATGGAGGAAAAAACCATGGTTCTTGATGATCTTTAATTCTCTCTTTTGTAAAGTTTTGAAGATAATAGTGGATCGAGAATCAAATCAACAAGAGAGGGCTAGGTTGGCTTTGGCTTTGCAAAGAGAGGAAAGACTTAAAGAGAGAAAGGGAGATATATATAAAGAGAGGAATGAGAATAAGGAGCTTTATGTTGTTTATATATGTATAGATATAGATATATATATGTATGTATGTATAGTCTTAGTAGGTTTTTGTTTGTTCTCTGTTTCTTATTTTTTGTTTTATTGCTTTTTAGGGTTTCGAGAGAGTGATAGTTACTTAGCCTTTAAGCTTCTTAATGATGCTGCAGGGACTGTAGCAGTGCATAGCTAGTAAGAAAAGATCAGTGGCTCTCCCTCTTGCATGAAAAAGTAGTGTGATTTCATGTGTTTTTTTAATTAAAAGATTACTACTGTTTATGACCACCAAATAATTTGGCTTACATAGCCATTAAAGCAAACAAGTCCAATAGGAATTTTTTGACTTAATGTGTATGTCTGCATATATATATATATATATACACACATAAATATGTATAATAATCTAGTGTAAAGAATTTGTTCAAGGAAAAGTTAAGTCTTGTGCTTTGGTGTCGTAAACCAGTCCAAGAAGTTTCCCGACCGAATGAATCTTTTACTTCCCCTCATCTTTTCCCTCTCTCACTCCCACTATATCTTTACTTTGCACGAAATCGCTCCACATAGAGTATGTTGTATCATTGATATGTTCGCTCAATAAAAATACACTATTTAATAAACTTTGTTTGTTTACGTTGTCACTTTTTAAGAATATATTTAATTGATATTCATTCATTAAATTGGTATGCTTGGATATTTCAACATATTCTTCACATGCTGAGCGTGTTACGGAACTCACATATGGTACATGTCTACACACTATGAAACAATATATTTATGACAAACTGGAATGTTTTGGCCTTATTTTGCTTCGAGTTTCTAAAAATGGTTTTTGAAAATACTAAAAAATAGAAAACTGTTTTTAAATAAAATAAATAAATACAATCAAATAAGTTTCTATTCATTTTTATGTCAGAAGAACCGTTCTAAAAAAATGAACCAAATAACCCCTTCTATCTTTATTATGGAGCTGGGTTCAGGTTGGTTGGTTGGTTGGTCAATAAGCCAAATTTAGCCAGTTCCTAGGCAAAGACTTTAAAGCCAAAATGACCATTCGAAAAAAGAAAAAATAATATTTAGACCTACTTCCCCAAGTGAAACAATTGCATGAACTTCCACTTTTCCTCATCTAAAAAATAATAAAAGAAACTCAAGATGGCTTAGAATCATTTTTAACTTTTCTTGAAATTACAATCCAAATTTCATCTGAGAGTCATTTACAAACTCAACATAAACCAAAAAAATATAGATATATCCAAGACTAACAAAGAAGATTAATTTAGTGATTATGGTGATGCCTCATCTTTGAACAACTATAACGTGAAAAAGAATAATGTACAATGGAAGAATAAACTAAAATGTATAGGCAAAAATATCAATCAATTTGCAAAATCCAGCTACTATTAAAATGATAATGTGCGGAGTCCATTTACAAGCTATCTACAATCGAAAACTCTTTAAACATATCCTAGGAAGGGTAAAAATATTACCCGACTAGAATAAAACCACTATGCCATCACCTATTCTTCAAAAAAATAATAATAATAATAATGAAATAAAAACGAAACTGGTAGCAGTGTATATATGTATAAAATATTATAATAATATATTCTCACCAAGAGTTGTAGCCTAATGATATCTCATGTACTTTTCAAAGTGAAAGATCGAGAATTCAAATCTCATTAGAAATTACAATGGGTGTGTAACTTGTCAAGAAAAAAAAATTATAACAGATAAATGTGTATCAAACTTTATATACATATATATGATATTATAATGATGGATACATGTGTATGAAAATTTGAAGCTGCCCTATAAATCTATACTTATAAACCCCAAAGTTTGTTCACCTCCTTGTCTCTATTTCGGAATTCCAGTAGAACGGTCTAGTGCCTCCACATGCAATTTCGGAGCTTGAAGACGAGTGAACTGAAGAATTTTGAGAAACATGTCTACTCTCCGCAAGTTGGTAGCACCGCAACAACTTGAGAATGTAAGCATCATCATGCAAGGAAAATGGTGTACTGCGGACAAAATAATAATCGAATCAAAATAAGGAAATTTCACCCTCAGAAAACCACAATTCCTAAACCACCATTACCAACCTAGTTTAATCAATAGTTCTAATCACTGATCAAGGCTCATAAGGTCTTTCTTAATTCTCTATCCCTTTCCCCCTTCTCTTTTTCTCATTGCTTTCAACTATTACCTTTAAAAAGAAATTTTGAATGTTGAAAAGTTCACCAAAATACTAGATCTACAGACAGCTCTATACATGCAACAAATATGTTTTTAAATTCACATCAGATAAATAAGTAGCACATGGTGATTCATAGAAAAACAGTCCACTGAATACAATATGTAGTGCATGTTGAATTTTCCTGTTAATAGAAAAAATTAACCACCAATACTATATGATAAAATAAGGTGAAGTAGTCTTACCTATTGAAGTCAAAGTGTACCAATTGCATATCTTCAGAAATCTCAATTTCAACTGTAGCATGAGGGCTTGTCTACAGAGAATGAGAGAGAGAAGGTCAAGTTCAGAACACACAGCTGACAATAATAGGATGATTAGGAAAATAAACCCATAGCATTAGTTTAGTGCCAATTTATGCCATCAAGGAAGTAAAATATGCATGATCCAACGGAAACCTACTTCACCAACATTATCCAATCATGCACATATGGGAGCAAAATCTAATCACAGGAGTATATCAACATCATATCATATTTGATTAGATTTCTTCTTACATATATCCACTTACAATTATATTGAAATCCCATATAAGGTGACATACTGATGACACAAGCTTGATGTTTGGTTTGCTTTACAAAATGTATATGTATAAACAATGTAAATCGTAGAACATTTTACATCACTAAATTAAACACAATATTTACATATTACGCAAGAATAAACTTCAGAACAGATATCGTTGCGAATATTAAAAAATATAAAATCAGAACTATAGATTGCATATGTGTTACATATTATTGAACAATATAAATGAAGCAATATGATCAAGTTTTATATTCCAAGCCAAAAAACTTACCCCATTGGACATAAGCAATTACACATCCAACTCTAGATTAATGAAGGGATCCAACCAGAGCACTTGGAGTTGTAAATTGGGGGTTCAGCAGGGTAACACGCCTATATTTGGTATAATGTAACCCATGGATGAATTCTTAAAATGCAAATATGAGCATTTGACTGGAACCTAGTAGAAAGGAGTATGCAAAAGTCCTAAAAAACATGATTATATTATATTCAGTACTTTGAACATGCTGAAAAGAAATAAGTATCAAATTTTGACCAACCACATTATAGCAAGGAGTAAGAGTAATAACTAATATTGCCAAGAAAATCTGTTGAATTGTGAACTTAAAAGCAAATATAAAATAATAAGAACGAACTATTAACAAATCTATAGAACAGAGAGTTAGTGAAAAGATAATACAAGATTTTTTATACACTTCAATTTCAAAAACTAAAATGGAAAACGGAGGGGCTCTTCTTCTGACAATGGTTGAAGCTACGCGCTATCCTCTCTTGGTACCACTTGGGCACAAATTGGTCATCAAAGAGACATCAAGATACATTATGGGTATCTGAAAATGTGTAAAGTATTGGACACAAAAAAAAAAAAAAAAAATTTTCAAGTACATAGACATTACAATACGTGTGAGACAAGTTACCAGTCAGATGCATCAAACAAACACGTTTGACAATGAAAAATGTGAGCAGTTTCCTGGTTCACCATGAGGGACTTGCGATGTGTCCTTAATATATATATATATATATATATCAATGAACTACCGTGCGCCAATAAGGGGGGTGATTCCCACAAGAGAAGAAGTTCCAAAATCGAGAAAGAATGATAAATCACATTGCCAGTTTAAATCCTATTAGAGGAGTGCTGTGAGAAAAGGTGAATGTGAATGTATGTACAATATCCCCTAGACTGAATGGTCGTGAAAAATAATATACTTAACAAGACTCTGCTCTAAATCTCTGAAATTCTACATATGAAATTTACAAATACTTGCTCTTCATTTAGAATATTTTTGTTTTTATAAAATTCGATTAGAAAGATCAAGAATAAATTCTAACAACTCAAGAAAGCTTTAATCTCTAGTTAATAAGATCAATATTCTATTAAATATTATTTAGTATTTACTGCCGTGAAGGAATGGGGGGTTATAGGTCAAATGAAAGCCCAAATAGATAATGGAAATACTGAAAGGCTTCCAATTCTTCAACAATAATATACTGTACTTTAAGAATTTGAATAAGATAGCAGCTTATATCACAAATACCATTATGTTTCAATTACAAAGACTTGTGAAAATAATAATAATAATTGGAAGGAAAGAGGATATGTACCCGAACTAGTATAAATGGCAAAGAAAATCCTCCAGATGGAACATATCCAGACTTGATCAACTGCTGATTGCGTGACATCAGATTTTGGAGACCTGCAATCTGTTTCATATTTAAAGAAAATAAATTATAAAATTGATAATATGCCTTCTTTATATTTCCACATATAGAAAGAAAGGTAAACAATAACTAATACCAAAGATATCCCTTGTTAAATAATTAAAATTTTCTGAAAAAACATATACCCATTCAGGCTATTTCTAACTTTCATAGTTGCATGAATCTAAAACTATGTCCACGAATCAATTTTATTTACTGGATAGTTGCAACCAAATATAAAATTATACACGTTGTGGCCATTGCTTGGTGCTGGTAAAAACTCAGGCTAACAAGTGTAGACATGGATTCAAGTTTGATAGCAGCAGCTTTAAGAAAAATAATGTCAAAGGTTAAATGTGTCTCCATTCTTCAACCCCAGATTTCCAAGTAACTGGACCAGCACTACATAATGGCCTTTTTGCATTGGGCATATAAAGACCTAGAGCAAGAAAGGCATTCCTACTTATTTAATATTTTTAAGCTACTAAGTTGATTGTAAATAAGTTGAACTCCCTACTTCACTTAAACTAAATAAACGTAAAGGAAAACAGAAAAGTGATGCATAAAAGTCCAAGAAGTCTCAAGAGTGGGCATTTGTCAAACTCCAATTTCAACTGTAAACTTATACAAATTTGATTTTCATATCCATAGCATAACTAAAATTTCTCAAAACTCCCAAAAAATAATTTACATTGTTGTTTATTAAAAGGGCAAAAAGAAAATGATAAGACAACATTACTTGTTCTTCTAATTCTTTCAAATAGGCTGATTTCTTTCCAATCCCATTAATCAGCTTAACATGCAACGCCTGCAAGGATAAACAAAGAAATCTAGTCATTCTCTATAGAGTGACACTTAAAAATCATGCCAAATCAGTCAAGGTATGAATGGGTGATGAAAAGGATTGAGTAGGATGGTGACAGGAAAAACGAAACAAGAACAGGTCCCATCCTCTATGGAAGTTAGGAAAACCCAGATTACAAATGTAGAGGATGGACTAATAAAATTGTGAAGCAATTGATAAGAACATATAGTAAGCAATTTTCTCAAGTAGGAACTTGTGTTTTACATATCCATCACCTCTATTTTAGGGCTCGGGCCCCCCATAGCCAAGTGTTAGCCCCAAGGATATCTAGGGGGACAATACTGTTAGTCATGGTCACATTATCCGTGCTACAGTGTAACACAATCTTAATGATCCAGTTCCTGTAGCCTCATACTGTTAGTTGTGTGGTCACATTATCTGTGCTACAGTGTAGCAAAATCTTAATAATCCAGTTCCTGTAGCCTCACTTATTAGCCAGCCTCCCATCCAAACCACCAAACCCTAGCCTCCTTTAAACACCCTAGCAGGGTTATAACATGTACAGCTATATGCACATAGTCCCCCTAAGGCAAGCGCACAGATGAAAGTGTCTACAGTGTTCTTTTTTTAACTTAGAGAGAGAGGTAGAGAGAGATAGTCGTTTTGTTGATATGACAAATAATGAACTCTTATCCCAACCTTAAGCTGTTCAAAATCCTTCACATCTGTATTCTGAAGTCCCTTCCACCAAATTGCCTTTTTGTCTTTCGCAATAATATCCAGTGCCATAAGGACATTCAATGCATCATATACTCGTCGTCTTATATTCTTCTCATCAGACTGAAACATTCACAGGTTCACTTCTCAGCATACACAAGAAGTAACATAATAATAGCAGTGTAAAAAGGTTAAACTCTAGGGTTGATCAAACCTCATTGAAGGAAACTGCTGAACTGTTGTTAATTCTGGTAAAATCTGCTACAATTTCATCTGCAACCTGGACATCATGAACCAGACAACCCAATAATTATAAGATAAGACATAATCATACACAGAGGCAATAACAGTAATCTAAACGAACTGACATGACAAGACCCAGCAATGTAGGAAAGGAAGAAGAGAAGGCCGATCAGAATAACAGGAGAAATGAGAAGAAGACCAACAAATAGAGATTTTTAGGGAGATAACCTTAATACTAGTGTGATAAATCCTAAGACATCGAATCACATATAAGGGCAAACCCTAGACAAACCTAATAAAATATTTAGCAACCCCAAAAATAAGGAAACCACAAAATTAAAAAAATAAAGAAATAGCCTAAAATATAATCCCAAAATTCTTGTGCCTACACATATATTGCATCATGTGAGAGTAATTGCCACCGCCCTCATGTTTAAGTGGAGAACAGGAAGAATACGGTCAGGGCCCATCGCAGAGATGGGAGCTCACTGTGGAACACATGGTGATCTCCATCACCCACATATCATTTGAATTATATTGAAGAGCACGTGTTGAAAAACTCAAAAGCACATTTTTATCAACTGCATGATCTATAGATGAACAATTGTTAAAACCTTATTGTGCTGAAAATAAGAGAGAGAGAGAAAAGTGGTCAAACAAACTTTTCAACCCCCAAGCAACTATGGTCAATCATGCAAATTTTGTTCCTTGACTCTGAGAAATTAATTTCCATGCCCTCAACCATAAAGGCACTAATAATATGATAAAATTCCAACGCCAGCTAAATAGATTTTGAATTGAAACTGCAGATGAGAATGGGCAACAAAGAACTGCTCAACTTCTTGAGCCCTTTTGTGATACTGGATTGTTCCTAAAATTTGGCACAACAGCTCCTCGCTAGGTTGCATAAACCAAATCAGCAAAGTTAATATAGTCAGTTTTTATCTCTGAACAAGTATTCAAAAAGCGATAATAGTTAACTTGATCAGAAAATCATTTAGGATGCAAAACTCTTGTTAAAAAACTTTTTCATTTAGCAAACAAAATATAAAGTATTTATCCAAAGAAGAAAAGGAAAAAGACACAGGAAAAAGAGGACAAGAAAGAAAAATACCTCACTGCATGTGGTTCTTCCCTTTCTCTCTATCTTCTTACATACTGTAACAATAATAAAAGTGGATTTAGAATTTTTTTTAAAACAAAGATCTTTTCTATATTGTTCTACTAACTATATAAAGGCAATGCAATTTTTTTATTAAAAGAAAGACCCATAAGCTTCATTGTTATAAAGCTTCATTGATATAACATCAAACTGAGAAGTGAGAACATAATTGGAACAGCACCTGATGATATGAAACCCGCATGAAAGGGAGACACTTGATAAGAAGAATTACTGACCTATGATACTAAACTGGCGCAGGCCTCCACCAATAATTTTAGACACCCTTTTGTTCTTTGCTGCACTATTTTTTTAAAGAAGAAAGTATCAACTTGAGATAACTTAAAAACAAATTTAATTATAAATAAAATACAATATTGACTTGTAGTGGCATCAACTATCATCCCAACCATGCATGTTTATGGTTGATACATAAATACATAATGGTAGATTTAAGATTATTCAACCAATTATATATATATATTGGGAATAAGATGAAAGAAAAGTAGAGACGAGGAAGAAAAACATGATATAAGTGAGTTGCATCCACCTGTCCTTATGGATAGACAACTGATTTGAACTCTTTGTATTCTCATAAGCTGTTGCAGTGTTATCATCGCTTGTTAAAGCTGGGAAAGAAGTCCCTCCTTCGTGAGCAAAGCCACCAAAAGTACCTCCCAAATACCTGTTATCCATCATTATCCAGTAGCTACACTCCTTACCTCAAGAACTGAGGTAAACAGTAAATGTTTTAATTTCTCAAGTAGAATTACACAGTTTCTCGAAATCAAGTATACCTGCAAAGGATGGGTATACAAGCTAAAGAGAGAACTTACACCAAAAAAGAAAAAAGACAATTTCAAACACAGAGGCGAAGAGAGAGGACATGAAAGTTAACAACAAAGAGAAATTCAAAGAAAATCCAAATCTCTTCTTCTTCCTTTTCTTCTTTTTTTTCCTTCTTTTCCATTTTTTTTTTTTTTTTTTTTTTTTTTTTTTTTTTTTTGCGCACTTGCGTGTTATTTGTTCAACAAAGAAAACAGACATAATTGCAAACAGAAAGGCCAAGAAAGAGTACATGAATAGTTAACAACAAAGGGAAATTTAAACAAAATCTAAATCTTCTTCTTTTTTATTCTGCTTACTTGCATATCATTTATGAGAAATTATTAGATGGTCCTGGTCTATTTTACACTTGGTGGACAAATTCAATGACAACCCTCCGTTCATGACCCTTTATAATATATTAATAAACTCTTGTGGGGATATTTTCTCAATCTGAGAGTCTGTATTTAACTGGTACACAAAGTGTTAATGGTCCAGGACAATCTAAAAGTTTCACGTCATTTATTTACTCAACCAAAAAGCCAAGTCATATGGAAGTGTGAGCCAGAACTTGTGTTTGCAAATAATTATTTGTAGAAACAATATCATCAATACATCTAATTTTTTTCACATACATACAATTTGGAAGAAATTTTTCGTCAATTGTCATAAGTGCATGTTATGGCACTATATTGTGGGGAATATTTTCGTAAGTTTTGAAAAATTAAAACTAATACAATCGATAAGCTGTTCATGACCAGGGGCAAAGCTAGAAATTTCGTTTTAGGGGAACAAATTAGTACTATGTAATTATAATTATAAATCAATTGTAGGATATTTTTCTTTATTAGTCTTAGTAATATTGAGGAAAATATAATTCGAAAAATGAGAAACATACAACTTAAATAAAAAGAGACAAAAATTATATGAAAAGGAAAAACACATAGAGAAGATAAAATAACAAATTAAATATAAAACAAGAAGTGGTAAAGAAAAATATTGTTAAATAAATCGTTTTTATTCAACAATCGTTTAAACTTGCATTTTGGAAAAATATATCATTATTACATAGATGGAAGATTTTTTTTTTTTTTTAAATATATTGTTTTAAATAAACAAAAAATAGCAAGTTTTTACAAAACACGATTAATAAGAACAAAATCGAAAAGTATTTTAATAACTTATACACGGAGCAGCTATAGCATTTGTCATTTAATGAGTGAGAACTAAAAATATTAGCATATATGATATATATAATTGTTGTTGCTGGCATTTTTGTCATCTTGGTCTCATAACACTTTAAATTTTTCTCCTTCTTAGAGCTCCCAAGACTCACTAAGACAAAAATAATTCTAGTTATTCTTTTTTGTGTAAAAACCGTCAAGCAAAATGTTCTATAAGAAAGGTTCGTTTATTTTTATTAAAAATTATTTTTTTTTCTTTTTTTTATCTCTCTTGAACTCATAGAAGGCAAATTATATATTATATGTAAATGTAAATGCAAATATAGTAATAATATGTTATAGTAGGAACTAGTGTTTAACAAGATTTGGACTTCAAAAGTAAGGCTAAAAAAGTTCAAGGGGGAATTTTTTATGAGTTTCGAGGAGACAAAATTATTTTTATTTCCAAATTCACTAATTTGACAAGTGTTTAAAAAACTTAACAAAATTTTGAAAATTTTATGTCCCTAGCCCCCTCTCCCTCCACCCCTGTTCATGACCCACCACAACATATATATATATATATATAACAAAAATAATAATAACATTGTTCCCAAGTCCCAACCTGCCTATTTTATGTTATCTTTAAGTTTGTTCATTACTGCTACTATTTTATTTATGTTCTCTTACATTTTATAATTCCAGTGTAGTTCAGTAATTTTAAAATTAGTTGGACATGAGCTGCAGTACCCAGTAGGGGTCCATGAGTCTTACTTAGGGTCAACTTGTGGTATTTATGTTTGTGTATGTGCTCTAATTTTTTTTTTTTTTTTTTAGTCAGTATGTGCTCTAAGACTAAGCAATGTTTCTGAGTTTCAGATTTCTATTATGGAATCCAAGTCCTATTAGATTTACATTTACTAGAAGTCTGACCTCATAATGTTTTTCGCCAGAATTGATTCCAAGAATTTTTTTTTTTCCTTCAATTTACTTTTTTTTCTCTTTATCATCCATAAAAACTTAAAAGACATAATCGAACCTCATTCACTCCTTTTCTACCTTTTACATGTCCAATTTGACAAACTTCAATCCTTTCCTGTTTCACTGATTCAACCCTAGAACCTAAAAGAACAGAAATCAGCCCCTAACTATTGTTTGGGGATACTAATTACAGCTAACGACTCCAGAGCTTTTAATTTACTAGCTTAATAACCTCAAGCCACAAACTTCGAATTTTTTTATTAACCTTTAGACACAATTAAACTTTTTATAATCAACCTCATAAACCCTCTTTATTGTTGTTCAACATAAATTTTCTTATAAAGACTAGTAGAAGATTTCTTCGAGCTTGTCCTTCACTAAAATGTGTTTTTTTTTTTTTTTGGCTAGTTTGAATTTAAGGATCTACTCAGTAGCAAGATTTGACATCATCTCTCTATTTCTTTACTTGCAAAAAGAGATTTTGGTGCTATCAAATTTGTGTTTCAAACACAACTTCCACAACAACCAACCAAAAAACATGGGGAATTTTTCTTTGTTGTAACCTAATTCAATTCTTTGTCACTATAATCTCAAACTACTTTCAAACAGCTGGAGTAAAAACACCATGTCCACTCTCCCGCTCATTATTTGATTTCCTAGTAGTATTCTACGCTTCATTGAAAAGAAGTTTTCCCATGAATTGCCGAGTAGGAGCCACTTGTCAATAGCTTTCAATTTTAGTATGGTTGCTTGTGCTCTCGCTAAGGACTAACATTGAAACATAAAGCACCTTGTTCAATGAATGATATCCTATAAATTTAATCATTTACTTTCTTATTCAAAAAATAAAATATTAATTAATAGATCTCAACATCTTAACAAAACATTAACCACAATAAACAGTTAAAAACATACATTAAAAATTCTCTTCAACCACAAAATCTCTCAGACCCAAAACAATTGAAAATTCAGTTACCCTAACAATTAAACCTAAATACCTCAAAATTATACAATCCTAATAAAGTATCAAAATCTCCCCTAAAGTTACCATCGAGAACCGAATTCAAACTTAAATATTCAAATCAAAGATCGTAACATTAACAAAAAAGGAAAACCCTAATATCATATATCAATTCAAATCTTAAAAATAAATAATAAATAAATAAAAATCTAAACCACATGATACAGTTTCAAGTCTATAAAGAACGAGTCTTGAATCGGAAACGGAAAGGCTTACCTGAATATCAATCGGTATTTGATTTGTGAATGTTCGTAAAGAAAAAAGCACCAATGATATTTCCGATAAAATCTTTTCCGTAGAAACTAGAACAAACTATTTGTTCCCGCTAATACAAATACGAAAAAAGGGTCTGCTTTTGGCAGACCGCTTATATACGAGAGACGGTTCATTTTGTTGACGAAATTAACCTAATAGTGCTTTCTAATTTCTATTTCCGCCTGGGTCCTTTTTTTTTTTTTTTTGGGTGGTTCCGCGTGGTTGGTTAGGAAGAAACGAGTTAAAAATTGAAATTAATATTCTGAGCAAGAGCAGTGAATGAAAATTAATAATAATAAATTTCACGTTAAAAAGTATGAAAGTTATAAACATTAAAAAAAATTTATTTATGAATTTGTTTTTATCAACCATCTTATACTTAATTGTTTGTGTATTTCTCTTTTTTTTTTTTTCTTTGTTTTTTGTGGGGTTCTAAGATACCAATCTTAGTACACTAAATTAAGATTTATTAGTTAATTTCAAATTTTAAGTTGGAGGGCATTATGGACATAAAATAAGGGTCAACAATGATTCTCTCAATATTATAAATTATTTTTACCAACTACAAACTTAGGTGAATAATCAATCAGCTTTAAAAGTCTACATTTTTGTTGTTTGAGCCTCCTAAATCCTAATTTCACTTATAGGAGATTTCTTTTTGAAAAATTAAAAAGCAGAAAAGTTATTATTCTATCCCAAACAATTTTCTCTTTTCTTTATGTTATTCATACTCTTAGAAGAATTCCATTTTTTCAATTTCTGCAACCAAACAACATCTTAGGTTGACTGCCTAAGGTTTTAGAGCCTACATGGGCTTGTCCCATGTCAAATCTTATTAAGAAAAAATATAAATATATATGAACAGGTATACACTGCTAGCCAAAAGTTAAAGTAATTTTTCGCCTCGTAATAAGCAGAGCTAACCCCAGTCAAGTCCGGTCTCATCGATCAATATGCGACTCTTTTTAAAATTTGATATGTAATTTGTATTGGTCAATTTATACTAACTTTATCCGAATTCATTACACAATAACGAATAATGTAACTGATACTGTAAACCATTAGTGCGTCCATTTATATTAGTGGAAAATTGGATTCACCGATTCAGATATTAAGGTAAGGGCCCAGATCAAAGATGGGTAAGAGCTCAGACAAATTTGAGTCGTGGGCCAGAGGCCCAGTGCAGTCCTAAGATGGACCCATAAATGGGTTAGAAAGACCCATGCGTGTGTTTTATAGCTATTTACTAAACACTGAAATTTGGTCAGACACCGTGACAAAGCAAGTCATGGGTGGGCTTCCGCGTGCCAAGCAATTGTGAAGGCAAAATGCCAAAACCTAATATGTCTATAGCCAATCAATTATGGTATTGTGGGCTCTACCTTTATGACCTATTCAACAAAAGTGGGTGTCACTGTCACGTGTAGATATATAATGTCTAAACTTTTCAAACAAATTAAAATATTACTGTATCATTGTTGACCGCTTTTACCCTTAAATGTGACTCTAAAAGTGGGAGTATCATTTTGTTTGTTTTATAACGATATATTCTAGTGTGTGGCCACTTATATTATATGAAAGATATAAGTGCCCTCGGAAAAATATATATATATATATATACCAAAAAATTGTCATAATGCTTGTTAAAAAAAAAAAGTATATGAATCTTAATGCCGATAAATAACTTCAATCTTTATTTAACAAGAAAAGGTATTACATCTCATAAAAAAAATTCTTCATTAACTTGAAAATAACTATTTTAAAAAAAAAAATCATATCTTCATAAAATGAATCTCAAACTCCATAACATGAAATTAAGGAAGAGGTGGAATTATTCAGAATAAACATTTGAAATAAAAATAAGCTCTTGAATTAAAATTAAAAAATAAATATTTTATTATTTAAGTGATTAGGTTACTCTTCAACATGAATGGAAGAGTTGCATTCAAACTTTGCATTATCTCCTTCCTCTCTAACCCACTAACCTCTTAATATTGGTTCCTTGAAAAAATAAATTGTTTACAAATTATGTACAGGAAAAAAATATATACTGTATACATTATGTACAGTTGGGAGGTACAATTCTCAATCCCTTTGGATTTAGAAATCTAAACTTTATAACTTGAATTCCAAGAGCTAGCAAAATCTATGAATTGAGACACCTAATATATAGATGGAAAGGAGCAAGAAACAATCAATGAATCAAACTAAGCTGGAAGAATCCGGCAAACCTTGCCGGAGATCATCATCGCCCTGCACCACCGGCCGTTTCGGATGCTTGATCCCGGCAATTGAAGCACGACAAACCGGACAATTAGAGTGAGAGTATAACCACATATCAATACATGCAGTGTGAAACAAGTGCTTGCACGGCTTGACCTGCCTTATCTCTTCACCGTCCGAAAATACCGATAAGCACACCGGACACTCGCTGCCATGCTCTTTTCCATGTGCCTCCTCCTTGTACTTCACAACAGGAATCAACTCCATACCTCCGCTGTCTCCTCTCCTTCCGGTCAACTCTCCGGCATTTTCGCCGGAGCTCCGGTGAAGCCAAGAGAAAGGGTCCCGGGGGCACTTTATAGCGAAGAAGAAAGCGTAAATTAAGACGGGTATGCCGACAAGTGCTAGCAGAGAGAGAACGGCGGCTATAGGGGAGATGTCATAGCTCTCGGTATGTGTCGCCGGCGATGGAATGGGTGCCGGAACTGTAGGAGTGGTGCTCATGATAAAAATGGAGTGGTTGATAATTGTTTTCTAGCCGCCTAGAGAATATTATCAAAAACTTATCTGGTCTTCTTTTGTTTATTTATAAAGAATTGATGATTGAGGTGTAGTGTTAGCTAACAAATTTACTTGGCATGATAGCTACGTCTATTAGGCACGAGTACAAACATATGCGACATGGAAATTTGATTCCAAAAAATATATAATTATTTAAGAGTAGTACCGTACCCCTTTCATATATTAGATATTTATTTTAAAATTTTTAAGAACTTTTAGGCCGAGGAGAACTTTATGATATAAGGTGACTCGATATAATATTAATAGATATTAAATGTTTAAAATATATATATATATATATATATAATGATTACAGACAATAGAATTTCGGGAAAGTAATGCAAGCACACCTTCTGTTCCAGCATGTGAGACCGGAGAAAATGAACCTTAACAGAAAGAAAACAGAGTCACAAACCTTTGAAAAACTGAAGAAACAGCTGATTAAATTAAAATTTCAAAAATCATTACCTCAAGCAAATAGCATTCAAGAACAGTCAGATCTGCCACTACAAATAAGACAAAAGAGCGACTTTTAATTAAAAGAGTAGGCCCAAAATCACCAAAACTATACATATATAGTCTGCTATTTCAGCGATGGCAAGATATCTGAACAGTAGGGTGCGTGAGAGAGGTAGAGGTTTAGTTTCTATTACATGTAGTCATTTTTTTTTTTTTTTTACTTTTAAAACTTAAACACATATTAATGTTTTATTGAATCATTTTATCATAAGAAGAAAATTCTTTCTTATGCGGCCTAAGACAAGTATTGTTTAAACTTTAATTATTACTTTCTCCCATCTCATATTAGTTGTCCAATTTAAAATTTTTGACTCACTACCACTTTTTATTTTTTAGTCATTTAAGGTTATTCTTAGTCATATTCTTTTTATATACATATATACTATCTATTTTCCATATAGATGTTTACTTTGGTAACTTTGACTTATAAAAATTGTGAGTCAAAGTTTTTCAAAAAAATAAGACGAAAGTAATATCATTTTTGACTCATCTGAAATCATATTTTTTTTATATACTTATATACTATCTCTGTCATGCGTTAAATATCTATCTCAAAAATTACAAAATTCTAAATTTAAACATTTAATATGCGAAGGAGGTAAAAGAGTTGTAACAAAATGATTACAAAAAGGGGGGAAATGGGTCATGTTAAATCTGTATTTTGACTGTTAATTGGGCCTGCTTTAATTAGGCATGCGGATCGGGGTGAGCTGTGCCCAATAACAATCGTTCAACCCAGTCACAAATAATTTCTTTTTTTCGGAAGTTAGTCATAAATAATTTCCACTAGACCAAGTATGTGGCCCAAACTTGGTATTTGGTAAATGTGTAGGTTTGAGAATGAGGTTGAGGGATGGTACCTTTTTTTTTTTTCTTTTTCTTTTTAGGCAGAAAACTTTAGGAATAGAAAAACACTAGGTTATAGCTCATGGTGTAATTTATATAAAATATTGTATCAATTTCCGGGAAAACATTGTCATGTTAAGAATTATGAACTCTCTTTTTTTTATTATTATTATTATTTTTTTTTCACTAGCAAGAAATTTACACACACCCAATTTGCTCATTTGGAGACTCCAAATTTCACCATCCATTTTGAGAGGTAAATGAGATACTAGTGGGCCACAAGACCATTTGTAATTCTCTTTATTAACCAAGTAAATTGAGACAACTTTTATAAAAGTTAGACAAATATTACATGAATTTCTTTCCATTCACATAAAATCTCTACACTTAAGCTTTGTTCGGATTGAATGATACAGAGAGATTTGGAAAGAAAAATAAAATAAAAAATAAGGATACTGGAAATTTAGTGGATAAAAAAGAAAGGTCTGCTTAGTTTGTAACCCTAAGAATAGTTATCTGTTTTCAGAAATCTGAAAACAGAAATTTGTACAAAAATTTCTGAAAACATAAAATTGTACAAAAATCTCTGTTTGGTTCAGTTTTTAAAAAACTATTTTATGAAAACTCAATTATAAAAAGACTTGTTTTTAGATAACTGTCTTTTATTATTCTCTGAAAACTGTTTTATATTCTCTGAATTATTTGAGAATTGTTTTTAGAGTTGCAAACCAAGCAAACCCGAAATGATTAAGAAAGATTTGGGGGGAGAAATTCCTCATATGCTATCCTCCAAAAAAATAAGAAGATTTTGAGAGAAATGATAGTGGTTAAATAATATTTTCATAATCCCGAAACTATTTTCTTATAACTCTTAATTGTCATCTTATAACATTTTATAAAAAGATTATGATAGTAATTTAACTCATATCATTTTTTTTCTTTTTTCTCATCTATCTTTTTCAAACAAGAATACTATCATTTTATTTATTTTCTCTCATAATTTATCCAAACATAGATAAAGGTTATAACTATTGCTATACTTTCTTTTATTTTATTTTCTCTTATAACTAATAATATTCTTTCTTTTCTTTTCTCTAGTGTTTATCTAAATGAAACCTTAAAATATATTTCAATATATTTATTACATATCTAACAAATATGTTAAAATATGATTTAAATGTGTTGAAACCATAAATATTGACATTAAAAAGAGATTTGAGCACACTTTAGTCTCATTTCAACACATTTGTTATAAATTTCAACACATACATTTATATTAAAATTCAGAATAAATATATTAAAACTAAATTTAAATGTGTTAAAAACAAAAAATTAAATGGCCACACCCAAACACTTAAATAGTGCCTTTTTACTAAGTCCACACATTGTCACATCAAATAATTTTAGAAACCACTTAAAAAGCATTTTACACGCGAATCATGTTGGAGCATTTTAAAACTAAAAAGTGCTGTAACTCCCAAGTGCATATGTACATATATACACAATTACACACACAATATAATATATTCGAGAAGGAGAAAGTGATAGAGAGAGATTATGACACGTACTGTGATCGTACCTTTTCGTTGAGCACTTCGTGGGATGGATACGACCTGGAAAAGTTAATATCCCCCCAGCTAGGCCTCCCATTCAATTTATCGTTTACCTCGAACTCAGAGGATGAGGATCATTAGGCTGAAGAAGAAGAAAATTTTTATGTAAAATTGTTTTGTTTAATATTTATTTTAGTTGATTATACGTCTATTTTAAAATTTATAAATCTTACATGATTTTTGTCAATTTTATAAAGTTAGGTTAAAGTAACTAGATAATTAGGATTATTAATACTCATAAAATTATTGTAATAGCCTAGATTTACATGATTTTTGTCAATTTTAGTAAGTTAGGCTAAAGCAACTAGATAATCAAGATTATTATTGCTCATAAAATTATTGTAATAGTGTTTGAATATTTGTTTTTAAAGATTTTAAATATTTTATAGTTTTTTCTTAATTTTCTATAATACTTTTAATATCACTATTTATATCTTTAATAGCGACTAATATTATTTTGTTATCTAGATTATTTGAAATAAAATTTTGGTTTATTTAGGTTTTAATATAATCTAGATTTTCTCCTAATCGAATTATCTAAGTTATTAAATTATATTCTAATCATAAATCTAGCTAAAATCTTTATGGTCTAGCTTCTAGAATATTCTGTATTAGAATAATTCTATATCTAAATTATTTTATTCTTCGTTGAAGGTTAGATATTGTATTATATAATTATAGTGAAGTGTAACAGTTTTTAAGTGTTATTTGAAGAAATTCTAAAATTTTTAAAAGTTATTTTTTAGGTAAATTATGTATAAAAATAAACCTTAAGGATAAAAATTAAATAAAAAATCTACATTTTTATTCATGATATAATAAATATACAAACTACATTAATGAATTGTTGATAATATACTCCTACTATTACCATTTTTATGTAAAATTTTCTATAATAATATTCGAGAAGGAGAAAGTGATAGAAAGATTATGACACGTACTGTGATCGTACCTTTTCCTTGAGCACTTCGTGGGATGGAGACAACTTGGAAAAGTTAATATCCCCCCCAGCTAAGCATTAGGCCTCCCATTCAATTTGTCGTTTACCTCGAACTCAGAGGATGAGGATTATTAAGCTGAAGAAGACGATGTTGTCTTTGCGCTTTTTTGGCGCGAGTGGGATCGCACTTGCCACCTATCTCAATCAAGGGCCTTAGTGGTTTTTTCAATTATTGAGATAAAAATAAAATTTCAAACTTCATGTGCATTTTTAATCCCACTTGCCACCTGTCTCAATCAGGGCCCTTAGTGGTTATTTCAATTATTGAGATAAAAAATATTTATGTAGTATTTTTTTATAACTTCACACGTACCGTTTTAATTTCTTGTAATATAGTTATTATTCGGTAGTTTTTTTAAAAAATAAAAATTACTCACATGTAATTTTTTCACTAATTACCCACTACAAACTATAACTCTTCACTTTCACTTTAACCTATTGATATATTTTAATTTTTTCAGTGTAAAGTGAGACATTACATAATTGTCTAAATATTTAGTTGATATTATTTTAGAAAAAGTGATTATTCTTCTAGAATTTGAATTTTCTTGCTTTCCTGTTACTCAACTCTTACGTTTACCATTATCAATTCATTCCAAATATTATGTATATACCTGTATATGCTGGAGAATTTTGACATATTATTTCATCAATCACGATAAGATTTTCAATGAATGTCACTGTGGTACGCTTTCGTAACATAGGTTCAAGGTCAACTATCTGGAAATGGGCTACTGTGAGTATGTGACCATCATCATTCATGGTTGACGGGCCATGAAGTAAGACGAAATTACAAAACGATATGGACATGATAATGCTAAATTTTGAAAAAAAAAAAAAAAAAAGACATGAGTATTGTATGAATACATAAAAGAATTTTTTTTTTTTTTTCAATTTATCCATATAATTATAAATAAATTATTAATTTAGAACTTAGAACTAAATGTTTGTTATTTTTATTTTATTTTATATTATTTTGCTAATTAACCCATAATATATTTTAGATTTTATTGAATTTCAATTTTTTTTTAAATAACTATAAAACCACCACCTGCATTTTGG